CGTCGGCCGGACAGAACCTCCTATATAAGGCCTTATTTGACTTTTTTTTGTAAGTTAGAGGCCCTATCTGACCCTTTTCCCCTTTATAAATTATACGAGGCCCGACATATCTTATGTTTTCGGAAGATTGAGCCTATATACTCATAACTCAAGTGGGGATCATTGGACTGTGTTGAGGCGGTTATTGAGATATTTGAGAGGTACCATTAATTATGGTATTTTTATTGAGATTATCTGTTGTAATCTACTGATACAACGATGATATGTTTTATTGAGAAATATCCATTGTCCTAGAGAGGTACAATGATGTTATATGAGAATTATCCATTGTATATAGTGATGCAATGATGGTATATATTTTATTGAGAATTATCCGATGTACTAGAGAGTCATATTGATGTTATTTTTTATTGAGAGTTATCTGTTGTATTGCCGGGATACAACGATGACATATGATATATCCAATCACCCTTAAAAGTGGTGCAATGATGTTTGAGAATGAAATTGTCTCCATTAATTTTGTGAGATCAGAAGGAATTAGCTACTCCTTTAACAGAATCCCCAGGACGAAAAATGATAACCGAAACATCGAAGGAAATGGAACTATGTCACTTTGAAACAAATGGGGATGGGAACCCAACTTGTGTGATTGGAGATCCCATGAAGCAAGTTCATATGGGTAATAACAAGTCTTCCATTTAGTTCTGCTTCCATGATGTGAGATATAGGCTAGAAACTGCATTCTTTGAGAGGGTGAGATAAAAGCTCTTAATGATTATCATAGCCCTTGATTTTAGGGTGGTGTGCAAAAGCGGTACACACTTGATGATATCACCTATATGAGTGTGAGGTGGGGCCGCCTCTATGAAGCATGACAAAACTTCTAGAGCACTCATGAACACCAAGCATGCGCATGGCCTTACGGCGCACAACGGCGTAATAACGAGAAATTGTGCGGAGTGAGACACGACCGTTAAGACCCTGATTTACCAATAGTAGCTTGTTGGTTCAAGAAACTATACGTTTCACCAAAAGCTCGGTTTATTAAGACTTAATCGTCTCGGTTTGGTTCATAGTCTACGGACACCAAACTTAAAGTCTCATTCTTTTAATCCAGCAGAAATTTTCTAAACTATTTTCAAAACATTCATTTGAAATATGTGGGGAATTGTTGAAAAAATAGAATTATTTAAAATGAAAAATACTTTATAAATCAACTTTATAAATTAAATATTTTCCTATATTCTATTAAAAAATTATTTTTAATAACTGTGCATTGAGTAGTTTCAAATATTGTCGTTGAGCATTTACTCTGTCCATTTATATTGGAAGTGCTCAAACCGTTATGCTTAAAAAAAGTTATTGCTTTATGCAAATGTTTAACTTTTACATATTGAGTTTTAAATGTGTTGAACGTGGGAGCTAGATGAGCTGTTAGCTTCAAGAATTATCATGGGAGGAGCTAGATGAGCTAGTAGAGCCGATGAATATATATGGAACCTTTTTTCCCAATGTCTTATTTAATTTCCTTTTTTATCTTTGTCATTTTTTTTTTGCTTTTCCATTCGGGATTCGGTCAATTTTATAGGACAACCGTTTCTCGCGTTCTTTGATGCTCAATCCATCTGGTTTTTCACAAACTATTGGTAGGTTTCCCTGTTCGGGTTATTTCCTGCCTTTAGCTAAAATAGAGAAACTTCGAAATCACTAGTTTGGATTCTACCTTTTCCCGTTCTGGTTATTAACACAAAAACGATAAATCATCCATGTTAGTGAATGCTGCTCGGGTCGTTCATGTTTCTAGATTTGACATCACCTTCAACCCGTTTTAAACCCTTTCCAAACTCAGCTAAGATGATTCCTCTCTTCAAACTATTAACACGTTCGTCATTCGGTCATCCGGAATGAGTAATTGACCTTCTGGGCCGTTAGGGGAGGTGGTGGTGGGGTTCTTAGATCTTCATAATCCCGATCCCAACGTCTCCGTGTGGCCCTAGTGTCATTACGTCCCTCATATTGGGAATGACGCCCAATCAGCGTAGGTCCTCTAGCTCGGGACCCGATCGGGGTATGGTCACTGGGAGTGTGTTGTCTGGCTGTGTGAGCCTTGGTTGTTCCCGATGGGCCCATGAATGGGCTGATGCCGTGGTTGTTTCTGTATCAGGGGGTTTCCTCCGTGTAGCTGGATTGCCCCCCGTCTTGCTCGTCCGCCATATATTGCATTACTCGGGCTATGGCATGGGATGAAGATATCCCCATCAAAGCGTGGGTAAGACCCTCGGCTGGATTGCCCTTGGAGGGTCCGGCTCCCCGGAGTCCTGCTCCTTCCGCGATGCTCCGAATCCTCATTGGTATGATGAGAGGTGATTCTGACCTTTTTTTTAAAGAAGATTTTATTCAGAACAACAAAAGTACAATGCAAGAAGCGAAATAAAAGTAAAAAAGAAAAAAGAAAAAGAAAATTACTGAGTAAAAAACAAAAACTAGACCCAAGGAAAATCTCTGGACTGCGATCTAGGTTTTTGGGTAAGTGATTGGTGTGAAACTTCTTGTTCAAGTTTCTCACAGACGGTGTCAATGTTGAGGTTAAGTCTCGTAGATCCGAAAGCCCAACACACGCTTTGGATATTAAGGACGTGGATACTAATTCGAGGGTATAAGAAAATATAAAAGCTGAATAATAATATGCTCAAGAGCCTTCTTGCATTAGATAATTCGCCGATTACAGAGGTAACTTCCTGAACGGTATGTCGGAATAGTGATTAATACAAGAACAAGAGTAATAAAGCTATTCTAGGCTTTGAGTATCAAAATGCTATTTACAATGAGATTAATCCCTCTATTTATACTAATGGGGGGTATGGGGTGCTCCATGCTGATTGGTTACTAATCCAACCACTTGAATGCTCATACTCCCACTTGCTGATGTCACTTCGTGGCAATAAATGCTCCTGGCCACTTGCCAGCCATCCATTGCCCGAACGGGGTGATGAACCATGCTGGAAACATTGTTGATTTGACCCAAGTATCGTGTATGATCCGAACCTCGTTCGGTATATATATCTTACTGGGTCAGTCCCTCATCTGGATCCCGTGCTAGATTGTTTTGGTCTGGGTAGTTTGGGACTTTGGCCCGAGTATTGGGCCTTCGGCCCAATATCCCAACAAGACTCCACAACCCAAGGGTAGATTTTGGACTTTTTCAAAACTATGCACCCATGATATATGGTCCAGATCTTAGCGGTTTTATCTTTAGCAAGCAGACAGAAAAGTTACCACAGGGATAACTGGCTTGTGGCAGTCAAGCGTTCATAGCGACGTTGCTTTTTGATCCTTCCGCCAGAACGTCCATCAACAGTATCAAGCATTTGGTCCCACCGCACCATACAATAGGCACGGGCCGGTCGGGGTTCGGTACGGTGGGTGGGCCGACAGCAGTACATTATGTACATACACAACCAACAAAAAATATAGAAACCAATTTTACCATCTCTAAGGGATAAAAAAATTTCGGTATAATTTCTTGTACTTTCCATCACTGGCTTATGAGTAATTTCGCAACACCCACCAAAGAACAAGGTTTCCAGACCCCTTTATCCCGCTCTGCACCAAAGATGGGCCTCTCCAACTCTCCAAGTATGTTGGCAGTCCTGTTGTGCGGAAAAGGTCAGAAAATGTGAACTTAAGCACATTCCCTCTTATAGCAACCCATAGCTCATTATGTGGTTGTTCGCACACAAGTCATAACAAGAGCAAACAAACAATCTATCCAAAAAAGTGCATCTTGGAAAATGGACATATCCAACAGTTTGATAGAAGGGCACGATTGAGAAAGGGTTCCAACATCCTTAAAATCAGAGCACACGCAATATCATAGATTTAAATAGCAGTCCGCTACCGCTAATGTGGCCGCTATATAGCGGTTGAGATAGGCTCCGCTACCGCTACACCCTGCTATTGCGGTGTGAATTTCAATCACATCAAAATCCGCTACGAAATCCCTAAAGAACCGCTATGCCGCCGCTACCGGCTGCAACAAGGCTCCCACCGACCCCAACAGTGTACTCCAATCCCAAATGCACGAATGATGTGAGCATGCAGTCAAGTAGTCAACTATACTTGAAGACAGATTATTTATGGCCTTTTGGCTAAGATCAAGTGTAGCGCAGAATATTTTTCCTTGATGAAATCCTTGATGCAAGACCAGCCCAACTATTAAGAATGTGAAAATTATTAATTACAATTCTCCAGATTGTATTAATCGGCAAGTTTTTTATAAAGAAAAAGTGTGATTGAAACGCTCTAATTTTCAAATTTGTTTTTGAAAACATAAATAATAGTCGTGTGGATACCTATTGGGTAACGTGTTACGTATGAAGCCCAACTTCTCCACCATGAGATAAACTGAAAACTTCTTAATTGGCAAACCACAACCGCCCAATACTTCTAACACTAGCTAATCATATAAACGTTGTACACCTTTGAAATTTGTATTTCAAGTTAAAACACAGCCCATCTCATAAGGCATGTGTGTATACATAGCAAAACCAAGCCAAACATGTCCAATAAATCTTGTTTGGATGTAAGTTCTACGCCTATGAAAGGAACATTTTTTGAAATACCCACACCAAAAGATCAATTACCTCACGATTTTTTCCACTTTCTAACTAAGCCTAGTTATGGATCAAGAAGCATTTCACTTTTAGTCCTCCCACTATTATGACAATGACACTTTTAGTACCCACTTTAAACTTTCCCCTTTCAGTCCTTCAACGATTGTTACAATAATACTTTTGATGCCCGTCTTTGAAATTCTTCATATTTACTCATTCGACTTATAAAAGTGACATTTTTAGTCATTTCCCTAACTTCTCTTCTCAATAAGTGGAGGTCTAATAATGTCAATATGATAAAATTGAAGGACCAAAAGTGTCATTTTTACAATAGTTAGAGGGCTAAAAGTGGAAACATTCAAACTTCAAAGTCGAAGAACATATATTTGAAGGACAAGAAGTGGTTAAACTAAAAGTCAAATACCATGAGTATTAGTCGGAGGACTAAAAGTGGCAAAAAGTAAAACATATAACTAAGACAAGTTATGGATGAGTTTGGCAAAAAAAAACTATTTCAAGACTATTGCAGCATTTCTAAGAGTAAGGTATCTCTGAACATAATCATTAGGAAGTGATCTTATCATCTTGAAGACCTCTGTATTCGCGTAACGGAGGTTGGTTCTGGGATCAAAATAAGGAGCCTGTAATATAAGACACCATCGGTTATCCTAAAGCAATACAAAATAACCAATTCTGCAAGACACGCTTCAACTAATAAGCAATGTTGTGAAAAGCACTGGGGTGTCTTAGGGTCTAGTAGAAATTAATCAGACTTAGAAGTGAGCTACATGAAATTAGTTGGGGTCTTATCATCATCAGCGCCATAATCCCAACTATATTGGGGTCAGTGGCATGAAATTTAGAGTATCAATTAATTATCTAACATTCAAATTTCTAGCTTTATAAATTTATGCAAAAACAGTGTCAAGCTTTTACACCTGATGCCTTTCATGTACAACCTTCCAAAGAAGGACTAATGAGATGAAATTTTAAATCCATCATCATTGTAGATTTTTCCATTCAAGGAGAACATAAAGAAACAACAATGAGTTCAGATAGTTATTTTAGTCATGTCCAATAGTTAAATTATTTTTATACAATCAACATGTGCATCATGAAACATGAGCAAATGAGAGCTTTGTGTCTAGGCAAGGAATAATGCAATCTGGGCGTGAATTTCTCAAACTATCAAGCATTGTATCAAATATCAGTATAAAAGTGAAATTAGACAAATACCTCAAACCCTGTTATATCGCATATCTTTTTGCAAGGATGCATAGAAGGGGGAGATTCAATATTAACGTCTGCATAAAAAGGAAGAAGGTGAAAATACAAAGATTCATTTAAGGAGATATCTAATTATAGCATCTTAGACCTTGCACTGAAAAATCATTTGAAAATGTAGCACATTACATTTTAAAGTTCAAATGTAGTAACCTGTTTCCTAAAATGTAATGGGCAGTTTTTTATGCAATATTGCAATAAGACAGTCGAACCCACATGCACAACCAACATATTCTATACTGCCTAAATTAAGAATGCGCTACATAGAGTACAGAGCAGCTAATCATCCACGGGTAAAACATACGAAGTAATATTAAACAATACGACACGGTTACTTATCTATCCCAAAAAATTGCCTGCAAAAAAATTCTGAATCAACACCACATTAAAGACGAACATGAAATCCGTGCTAACTCGCGAAAGAATATGTTTTTTATGGTTACAAATAAAACCAATATCAGCAAACGACGTGTTAATATAAAAAATTACTTTTGAACTTCGGAAGCAACATGACCAACTCTGTTGAATTAAGAGTATTTGATACCAAAGTACAAACAATGAAATAATTTCATCGTCATAATCGCTTAATATTTACAGAGTAGATTATGAAACTTACAAGTGGGTTCATTTGGAGGGTAATTTTGGTAATTCTCAGCTTGGATAATCTGCTTGAGATGTTTCCAGTGCCTGCCTCTGGCTTGACCTTTGGGGTACTTGTCGGCCATTTGAATCCTCTTGAATTTCATTCGAGTTGGCAACACTAACTCTGCTTCCATAACTTCCGGCTCCATCTCGGTGGCGGACTGGCGGTTGCTTGCAAATCCAATCGGAGAAATTTAGGACAGAGAAGTGGGTAGATATTAGGTTTGGAGAAATAAGGGACGGGAAATTCTAAATACAGTCAATCTCTTATTGGGTCAAACTCTATTCTTAAGAGATGAACCACACAACCGATGCCCCAGGGTAAGCAAAACTCGCACATGTTTTGTCTAAATCACATGATTGTGAAAATATGAAGATGTTAGTGAAAATTTTAAGTAGCTAAAACTACATCCAAAGGTGAATGGTGAGTGGACACTGATCAAATACATAATCAAACCAAAATATGTACTTTACAATTCAAAATTTTAAAATATAACAGAATCGACTAATCAAGAAACTACAAAACCTAAAAAGAACTAAATCAGAAAAAATGATAGGTTCATAAACTACTTGAGCTGCTAACTTTGATATAGTCCTCTGGTATTCCCTTGAAAGGCAGATTGATTTGAAATCAAAATGAGTTCCAGTATAATACAGAGTAATTCATAAAATGTGATCTAGCATAATAGAATGACAAGTTCAATATAGATTAAAGAAAAGGCATTTACGAAAATTTTAATATTTTATTAGCAATGAGCTTGTGGAACAACCTCTTTGGCAATTAGATGTTTGCATGTGCTGTTACTCCCATGTACCAAAATGATCTTTACTTTCCCTAGGCTGTTATCATATTTAGATTCATATTTTGCAGTTTAATAAGTTATTATTTCAGTTCCTAAACAAATACTCCGTATTATTCAGTTATCAAAACTAATTTATTTATCGTGATAGAATAATTAACTTTATCATCAGCCAAACATAGTAAACCCAAATGTTATGTTGCTTTACACCAGTTGAGTTAAGTTAGCTCTTTAATTAGCAACGCAGGTTATGCAAATAGGTTTGCTAACAGCAATTCTTTTTAGCTATTCGAATGTATAACGTAAAGTAATAAGCTTTTTGAGACTAATCTAGAAAAAGCAACCCAAGTAAGCTTTTTGAGAATGAGTACGAAGGCTATTATCAATTCCCAAACATAATTGACAGCTACTATTAACGCCAAAGGTTCTGCTTTTGGTATAGGTGTATAACCTAGCCGAAAAACATATTATGCATACCAATTAAGAATTCAATCAAAAACTGTGAATGTTGGGTGTATAATTGTATATATCTGCCACTAAAATCTTATAATAGCAAAAGAACACGTAATCTCAATTTTCAAATGAATAGAACGGAATTGCTGGACACAGTGACAATTAATGGAGAGGGGAATTGTATATTTCTACCTCACGCTGCTGATGGAAAAACGGGCGATGGCCGCTGGAACCTGGCGAAATAGAATGTTTGCGTGGCAGGTTTTCCTTTCCTTTCCCTGCGATCCCCCCTCGTGTCTTTCACTGTTTCTAATAATGAAGCTTGTTTGAAAATCGTCTTACAAGATACCCTGTTTGGCAGCACGAAAATAGGATGTTTTTGATGAGGTGGGTGCATTGGTTTATTTTGCTGATACAAGAAAAAAATATTTTTAAAATATATTTTATTATTAAAATAAAGAAAAAATTATATGTAAAAATAGCTAAAATGGTCATCTATCTACAGTAACTTCAGTCAATACAGTAATTTCATAAAATATTGTGCTTTTATATAAAACCCAATGTTTATTAAATAATTGAATTTTATATTAATGACTTCCTAATTGAATTTTAAGTTAGAAGTTTTTTTATTTTCAGTTCGTTTTCAAAACCTCGATCGCAATATGGGAGCAGCTAGGGTTTCGTAGACCCTCGTATGCGGCAGATTTGGGGTCGGTGAAGTTCCTTCGCTCGACGTTGGAAGGCACAACAATTGCTACGACACCAAAATAGAAACAGCGGGACCGACTACAAAACTGGCTTGGGCTCGAGCAACGATCGGCTGTTTGTTTCGAAGGTGCAGGGAGTTTTTCGGCGAGGATAGGCAGAGGATGTCCGACTGGGTCGCGAAAGGCGACCGTGGAGCTGCGGACGGCTAGGGCTGCGAGACCCGAGCTTCCGATGACTGGCTTGGCCATTTTGGTTCTGATGGTGACTGAGATGGGAGTTGCACCAACTGTGTTTGATCTGGGTGGAACGTTGGCGATATGGATCCTGATTAAAGGGGGTGAATTTGGACTCGATTTGGGGGGTCAACATGGTTGTTATGGCCATCTCAAGTGGTGGAGGAAGAAGATGGTGTGTGGATGATTCGTCCCCCTCATGAACCGCCGCCACAAAGGAATTACTCAACTAGGGCTTGGAAGACGGCGATGCAGCTGAAATTTATTTATTTTTGCTGTTTTGCTTGATAAAATTTATTTTGTGGTTCTAAGGTCAAATAATAAGGGTGGTAGTTTCTTAGTGTTGGTTACCTTAGTGGTTAGTCTTCTGTCGAGGGGCAATCAGGCTGATTCAGCCGCTAATAGTCTCAAAGCTCTCACATTTTCAGCGATTAGTCTCGCTCTTTTTGGGGTGAACTACTCTATGTCTGATAAAGAAGTGAGAGGGCCGATGAGCTTCGGGTTATGCTTGTTTAGAGGAAGTGTAGTGTCTGGTGGTTATGTTTATTGTTTGCAATTTCTTTTGATTGTACTGCGAGTTTTGATTTAATATAATATTGCTAGTTTTCCGTTCAAAAAAAAGATAAGGATGAAGTAGTGTTTTTTTCAATCTATTAGCAGCTTGCAATGTTTTCTATTTGTTGTGATGAGACTACTAAAAATGAATTTACTATAGTTAGGATTATTATAAATAAATATTTTTTTTTAATATGGATAACGGATTACCGGAAATGATATATTAGCGAGATGACGAGATCAAACAGAAAAATCGATTATTAGAAAGATTAAAAGTGAACACATAATAATTGAGATTATTATTTTCGATAATATTAAAATTTTGGTGTGTTATCTGTTCATATCAGTCAAAATTACACAAAAAATTACGGACAATAAAATATAAAGCAGCAAGTAATTCTCACTTTCAAGTGGCACTTACTTTCATTAGATTTGTTTGTTTGGTTTGTTATTATTACCAAAAATAACTGGATGAACATAGAAATTAGTAGTCGTCGCCAAACGGCACTTCGAGATGCCTCAGAAGCTGAAAGAGAATTCAAAACGAAGAGTGGGTTGGGATTCAGCTCTTCCTCGCGCTCTGTCCTACTCTCAATCTCAGCCACCGCCATCGCCACCTCCAACCTCCGCAACTAACAGTCCCCTCCGCCTCGCTGATTCGCATTCGTCGATGGAAGTGCCGAAGGACCAAATGACCATTCTGCTCGAAAACAACCTTTTTACCTCCGCTCAGATGCTCGTAAACTTCCAGGACTAATCTGAACCTCACTACGAACATTTTTATATACTGTTTCTACTACAAATTCAGACGTTGTGTTCTTTAACAATGATTTTATAATTTGAATTCGTGTTTATATCTGTTTATATAATTTAATATAGGGATGCTTTCTTGTTTCGTCATCGACAATAAACTCAGAAACCAGTCCGCATCTCAAAGCTGAGAATTTGGTTGGTATTTTTACGTTATTGAGATTTGAATTCGGTGCATTTTCTATTTACTGTGTGATGCTTGCTTTGAATTTATGCTTAATAAAACTTGATATTCAGGTGCTATTTGGAAACGCATTATTTCAAGAAAAGGAATACAGGAGAGCTATCGTGAGAAAATGCCTTTGGTGCATGCTTCAAATTAGCCTCCTAATTCTTTTTCTAAATAAAAACGATCAACTGTGTTTATTTTTTTTTTGCAGCATACCTATAAGCAAGCGTTGCAATTTTATAAAACAATCCCTAAACAAAGCACAGTGACAACAAGAAACTCAACTTCTGCACCAAATAGATCTTGTTCCCCAAATCCTTTCAACATTTCAAACATTAATGAGAATGAGGTACACTGAGCTTTAATGCCCCTTTTTTATAATTTGAATTTGGATCTTCTGCAAATCCTTGACTGTTGCTATTTAAGTTCTTAGAATATTTAAATTTGGTTCATTGCAGGTGAAGTTCAAAATTGCGTCATCCCATTGTGCATTGAATGAGAATAAAGCAGCACTTCTTGAGGTGAGTATACGCCAACATGTAATCTAGATTGTCACATTCTCTAATGGAAATGTTTTCTTCATTGGCATTTGTTATCTGAATCAATGGTGCTCTATTTATGTCTCTAATTGAGACTTGAGAGTATGTATTGAGATCATGGTGACCGCCATTGTTTAGTTAATGGATCTCTGTTGCATAAATTTTGCTGCAAGTGCTATTATCTTCTCATTTTTTACAATATTTTACAGATGGAGGGAATCCCAAGCAAAGCTAGAAATTTGCAGATGAATTTGATGATGGGAAAACTTTATCGAACTTCTAAGCATACACGTGCATCAATTACTTGTTATAAAGAGTGTTTAAGGTTGTCTACAGTGTTTTGTTCATTTATTATTATTATTATTATTATTATTATTATTATTATTATTATTATTATTATCTGTGGGGTGAAAAAGTTTTATTTTCATCATCATTCACCCCATTGTCATACTTCACTTCTGTATTAAATGTTACTACAATACTACTTTAGGGTGTAGCTGCTGGTCTAATGAGAGTTGCTGTATTTCATATAAAAGGATGATAAAAGTCAATACTGCTAAAACTACAATCATCTTTTGGATAATTCGTGTACTTATTTCTTGATAGGCATTGTCCTTATATAGTTGAGGCTATCACTGCATTGGCAGAACTAGGTGTCGCGGCAAGGGATATTATTTCACTCTTTCCTCGGGTTTGTGTTTACTGAAAATACTTCATTAAAATATGTTCATTTATTTTTAATGGTGTTTCAGTGTTTATGGAGCATGCCTTACATTCTTTACAATGCTTTTCCAAATGTAGAAATCTTACTTGAGTTTGTTTTACACTTACCTAGTGGCTAGTTATTCCTAGGTTCCTTAGAGGCTTAGACAAATGGGTTAATGATAGCAATGATATAACTCTTTTGTCCGTCAAGTATACTGTTTTGAAGTTTCAGCTACAAAATGTTACTTCCAGTGGTAACCAGATATTCCTTACCCTATGTATTTCTTCCCAACTAAGAAATAAAACTGCCCAGCTTTTAATTAATCTAATACTACGTATGTCATATTATTGTCAATTTGTCATACTGAGTTGACGTTTTCTTACTATTTTAGACATCAAATAGAATTGGCAGACCTCCTTTGGATCATTTTGATTCGAACCGTTGGTTGATGGTAAGTATAAAGTATAAACTATAAATTGTTCATAATATCGTGTGTATATATTACATTGACTCTTCATATAAAATATTAAAATGCACAAACTGATTTTAACCACTTGTGAACAATGCACCATTAGTTCATTACTTCATCACACTGCACTTAATCTTTTGAGTCGTGGTCTTTTTTGTGTCGGCATGAAAAGTTTGATTTATTTTCAAAACTATCACCACGTTTTGATCTGTATTTGCTGCATTTTTGGCCTTTTGTATTCTTAAGATCTTGAATCTGATACATCATTCATTCTTATTTCTATTATAACATGTTATTCTCATTTGTTCCAAACACACACACACACACATCTGTTACTACTATTTTCGATTTCACTATGTTCAGTGTTTATGGTACAAATTTTTCTGTAGAGTAATGATTATATAATTTGTTTGTTTCATGTGCAGCGTTATGTCGAAGCCCAATGCTTAATTGCTTCAAATGATTATAAAGGTTCATTATTTTTCCCTAACACCTCACCCCTTCCATATAATCTACAAGCCAGTGGAATAGATGGTTATGTGTCATTATGTCACTTCCTCTTTATGGAAAAAGAAAAACTATCTTATGGGTTTCTTAGAAATTGTTAAAGGCATTATGGAGTATTTTAACTGTGTATTTAATGGTTATTATTGGCATTCTTGAAAAAATGCCAGTAAGCTGGTTTCTTTTTGTATGCCTTTTGGTCTTCTTACATCCCCACTTTTTATAAGCAGCTGGCCTGGAAATATTTACAGAATTGCTACAGCGGTTTCCCAACAATGTTCACTTATTGCTTGAAATGGCTAAGGTTAGGATGTTATCAACAAATTCATTGCTTCCGTAATTAGATATTCAATTTGCATCTCTTATATGTTCCTCAAGTGTTCTTTGTTCAACTAATATTTGACTGGTAGCACTTTCTCAACTATGATATACACTTATGTACATGTTGACCAGCTTTGAGTTCTTTTTGCAATGTTTATGACTGGGATTCAATAAAAAAGGATCAAGAGCAATATTTTTTCTTATTTATATCTATATAAGCGATATGTTCCATTTCCTTAGGTTGGGGCAATTACTAGTCAAAATGATGAAGCTATAACTTATTTTGAGAAGGTATGCAAAGTACTTCGTACTTCTTAATTTAATACTTTATCATCCTAAAAAGCTTATTGTACTTGACCTTAGCATGAAACCACAATGAAGCTGATTTTGACAAGGTAAACACTATATTTCTTGCGATAATACTAATTCTTTCAATCTTATATTTGTTTTTTATTACCCCAGGCTCGATCTATTGATCCGTATGTGATGACTTATATGGATGAGTATGCCATGCTTTTGAAAGTGAAGTCTGATGGTTCAAAGCTGAACAAGTTAGTGCATGATTTACTAAGTATTGATCCAACCAGACCTGAGGTATTTGTGGCCTTGTCAGTCTTGTGGCAACAGAAGGATGAGAGGGGGGCTTTGTCTTATGCAGAGAAGGTAAAACTTCTTGTTTTTTAATTAGCGGATTTAGTTGTCGAATCTTGATTGCACTTGAATGTAACTCTCAATACCGTTATGTTTGTTTGACTAGAGCATCCGAATTGATGAGAGGCATATTCCAGGATACATAGTGAAGGTATTTTCCAATGCTGTCTTACATATTATTGGAGATTAAATTCAGGCCAGCTCTCTGTGTTTTCCATCTCTTGGTTCTGTTTACCTATTTGTCGGGTATACTTCAAGTAGGGGAATATGTTCTTGTCAATGAATCGTCCTGAAGCTGCCGTGGTTGCCTTCAGAGGAGCACAAGAATTGAGACCAGATCTTCGTTCATATCAAGGTCTGTTGTTGGCATGACACAAGAAGTATAGTGTTTTTTTATATATCAGGATCTTCTAGGTTTGGAACTTCTATAGGTTGGATACTTCTTAAGAGCAGAATCGGCAGATGTCTTGATTTGGGTTCTTATCCTTCATTGACCAGTAAGAAAAACTTAAGAGTATCATCTTATCCCGTTCAGAAATAATTGCAGGCCTAGTTAGATCCTATTTGGCACTTTCAAAGGCCAAAGAAGCTTTGCATGCTGCACGGGAGGCAATGAAGGCCATGCCTCAGTCTGCAAAGGTTCTAAAATTAGTTGGGGATGTGCATGCTAGTAATACCAGCGGCAGGGAGAAGGTAAGTTCTTCTTTGAAGTCTTGTAAGGGGCCAAAAAGTCCCCAATGTGTGGGTTCAAAACTCTTCTTCATAAGTTCATTTGCAAGAAGATATTCTCATCGTTGCACCATATTGCACCCTCTCCCCCCAAATAGGCAAAGAAGTTTTATGAATCGTCCCTCAGGCTGGAACCTGGTTACCTTGGTGCTGCATTAGCTTTGGCTGAGCTACATGTCATTGAAGGTCGAAATGCAGATGCCGTCTCCCTCCTTGAGCGGTATCTCAAGGACTGGGCTGATGATTCTTTGCATGTTAAGCTTGCCCAGGTGTTTTCTGCCACAAACATGCTGCAAGATGCTCTTTCACATTATCTGGCAGCGCTGAGGTATGGCTCTCTTCTCTACTGTACTTTTTTCAGTTTTTCTCTTTGCTAGTTCAGCTATGTTTGGAGCTCGGGACACAGAAAGCGATATGGAAAATGGAAAAGATGATATGAAAATAGTAAATACGTTTGACCTTAGCATGCAAAATGCAAAGAAAAATCTTGTTTTGATATATTTAGTTATATACTCCCTCCGGTTCTCAAACAACTTCCCACTTTCCTTTTCGGGAAGTCCCGAAATTAACTTCACACTTCTTCTTATTTCCTTATTTGGCAAATTATCTAGGGAAAACTATCAAATAAGCCCTCGTACTATACCGAAAAAGTCGATTAGGCCCTCGTACTTTACAAACACTCAATTAAGTCCTCGAACTATTAAAAAACGTTCAATTAAGCCCTTTCGGTCGGTAAGTAACCGGTTTCTCGGTTAAATGTAACCTGTTTCCCGGGAGCCACCGTTGTTGGGGTTCGAGCACATCGTCGCCATCGTCGTCGTTTAACCGGGAAATCGGTTACTTACCCACCAAAAGGGCTTAATTGAACGTTTTTTAATAGTTCGAGGACTTAATTGAGTGTTTGTAAAGTACGAGGGCCTAATCGACTTTTTCGGTATAGTACGGGGGCTTATTTGATAGTTTTCCCAATTATCTACACCAAAACAGTGCAAAACAGTGCCAAACAGTGTCCAAACAGTGCACTCCACAGTAAAGTCAAATTTATTTTCTTAATCTGTGTGAAGTCAAAGTTTTGAGAACCGGAGGGAGTATATATTTAGATTTCTTTTTCGTTTATACACACACACACCCAAAACGGAAATAGAAATACAGTGAGTTTGAAAAATATGTTTAACTGATTTACCGAGTGAACCAACTTTTTTTAATTTGCGCACCAAATTTTCTTTACTTCCAATTTCTCCCTCACTTTGATCCCATTTTCTTTCTTTCCCTACCATTTTTTGGGTTTCCAAACTGACCCTTCTTCTAGTAGTACGATTTTGGAACCTGCAACATGGAAGTTTTGAATGGGTACTCCTGTATCTGACTCTTGAACTTTCTAGGCTGCTGTTATAAGAAGTCTTTGTCGGTTTGTGTTTTACATAATCACCATGGTTCTTTCCATATACAGGATTAATCCCCAAAATGAAGCAGCAAATAAAGGATTAGAGCGTGTTGAGAAACAAATGAAGGTTCTATTACCTGTTATCTACATATGTCTTAGTCTCATTTTCTTGTGCTTTAAGAAATATGCTCACGTTAGAAAGCATTCCAATAAGAAATGATATCTGAACTGCATTTTCTGCAGGGACTGGATCCCGATGCCCTCGAAGAAGATGAGGAGAATGAGGTTGACGATCCTGATGTTGACCAGGAGGAGGCCGACCTGTTATGAAGGTTGTTGGTTAAATGAGCGATTCTTCTCCTGCAGTTTGAATGGTAAATTCCTGGTATTGGCATGAGATATGCTGACTGCTTAACCAGTAATCTTAGTACTGAGACGAGATATGGAAATTTGCTGGAAATGGTTGATTAATTTGCTAAAGGGCAGTATAGTGATGTCTTCTCGGCTGATGCTGTGTTGACCCACCTTGGAATTGATTGGTAAGGATCCAGATCAGTGACAGTTGGATGATGGCATGGTATCAGATTGTGCACAACAGCATGACCTTTACTGGAAAATCTTTCTGTATGTTGTTATACCCATTTTTGACTTTTTTTTTTTATTTCCAGGCACATGTTAAGAATACATTCATCCACAGGATTTGAAATAAGGAAGTTGTATGCAATGCAAGTATGGGAACATTTAATTGGATTTTTTTTATTCAATATAAATGTCTATGCAATGGTATACATTTCTTTCATTGTAAGCTTTGCACCTTTATTTGGGGGGTGGACTTGGTTTCGCCACCAGACTGGTAAATTACTCGGACCATTACTGGGCTGATTGTACCGGACCTTAACTTGCCCAACCCGGGCACAGATTCAGTTTCTCCAAAATGGACCAGGACCATAACTTACCCAACTTGGGTAGGGTTCCCGTTTCCCCAAAATGGGACATGACCCATTCTGATCAAGGTTCCAATCCTAGTTATCAGGTTTTTAAAAAATATGGTACAAAACTGGACTGAAGCTGGGTTTGTACGGGGATCGGATCTTATCTGGAAATTACATCTTTGGTTACGGGTGACCACATTTGGGGACCGGGAACTGAACTGGCCGGTCCAAAGCCGGAACTGGACTGAAGGTAGAATAAAACCTTCACACTTGGGTCTGTCAGTCTGTCTGAATAATAACTATGGGAAGTTCATGTTTTCAACCAATGACTGGTTTAGATGCACAAAAGTATGTTCATGAGCCTTTACATAATGTTGTAGATGGAACTGCTCAACGGGTGTGACTTAACCTAGATTTTTTAAAGGGTTGTAGCCTTGTAGGGAAAGTGTTTATTTTGTGTTTGGTTAGTATTTTATTGGAATACAAATGAACTTGTTTGGTTAAAGGTTAATTTACATAACACAAGTAATTTAGATTGCCCTCAATCCATTTTAGTGTTAGTAAACTTATTTTAGTCCATTAAGTTTTTCATGCACTTATTGGTAAAAGTATAAATTCAGTGTGGAGTTGTTTTCATGTGATGTGTTGTTAGTGTCTTAGTGACATGACATCACACATGATATTAATGTTTTGAAAATGATTATTACTCGGTATTTAATTTCTACTAGTATATCACAAAGTATTTTTATAATACTCACTTATACCTTATATATATTGTTATATCTAATGAGATTTGGAGCATCAAACCTTTTATTTTTAAAGAAGAGAAGTTTATGTTTGCAACACAATGGAGGTGGGACATCTGACTTCATATCCATTCACATTATTTTATTTTAAAATTTTAAAAAGTAATATGGATTATAGAATATTATCATGAAACTGATAATGATGTGATAATAACATGAATATAGATGATAATATCTGTAAAATAATTGTGAAATTGGATGTGTGACAACTTGAAGGCTCAACTTGAGTAAAAATCTCCCTCATCAACAAAAACTAGACAAATGGCCATATCTTAACCTTTCAAAAAAAGACATAACAGAAAAAACTGATCCTTAGCCAAACGATAAAAACATAAAAACACAGTAATATAATACCCTCAAATTTGGAAAGCAAAGAGACAGAGAAGCCAGAGAGACAATCCCATTCTCAAATTCCTTTCTCTGATCTCTCTCAACAAAACCGAATAGAGAGATAGGAGAAGGAGAGAGAAGAACCGTCATCTCCATTTTCATTGTTTTCTCCACACAAAAATGGGCTGTGGCGAATCAAAGCACGCCGTCTCCACAGAGAACACCACCATGAGCAGAACCAGAAGCTCGTCCTCTTCCAGATCGAGCTCCAGGAGGGAGAAGAAGGCCGCCGTCGCCGCCACCACAGCCCCCGCCGTGCAACGGCCGGCTCAAGAAGAAGCTGCTCCTCCAACCCATGACCCCACCAAGAACACCCCCGAGGCTGCACTTGGAAATGTCGAAATCAATGTCTCTAAGGAAGGCATAAAAGAACCCATCTTTCAAGAACCAAAATCCGTTGGAAAAGAAAGCAAATACACACAAACAGAGGCTCTGGAGGAGATTAAGGAATCCGAGAATAGTTTTGACGCTGTTAAGGTTGCTGTGGAAGATGTAAAAGAGAAAAATCCCATTCCTGTTAAGGAAAGCTTGAATCTTGAAGCGGTTAAATCCGTTGAAGGATATGTAAAAGCAGAAACTAAAGAGGCCAGCGTAGAACAGAAGGTAGAACCCATTAAAGATCCTCTGCCTGTTAAGAATGATGAGGTGGCAGATATAAACAAGCCCGAGGAGGTTAAGGAAAGCAGCAATGCAGAATCTACTCTAATGGTTGTGGAAGATGTAAAAGAGAAATTGGATGAGGCCAAAGTTGAACAGAATGTAGAAAATGAATCTATGGAAGTTATGCCCCGGGAAGAGATAAACGAACATGAGGATGTTAAGGAAGAAAGCATCGTAGCTTTGGAAGAAGAGAAAACTGAAAAGGCCATTGAGGAAAAGAAGGAAGGAAATGAATCTGCGTCTATTGACATTGGGGAAGAGGTAAATGAATCTGAAGAAGTTAGGAAAAGCCCTGTTGCATTGGAAGCAGAGAAAATAGAAAAGGCCATTCCAGAGCAGAAGGAAGAAATACAATCTTTGGCAGTTTATGATGAGATTGAGAAAGAGGTAAACAAACCCGAGGAGGTTGAGGAAATTACTGTGGCTTTGGAAGATGCGAAAACCGAAATGGCCATTGCAGAGCAGAAGGAAGAAATAGAATCTGTGGTTGTTAAAGATGAGGAAGCAGATGTAAATGAACCAGAGGAGGTTAAGGAAAGTATTGTGGATGCGGAAGATGTAAAAGAGAAAGGAGAAATAGCTATTGTAGATCACAATGCTGAAGTAGCATCTGTGTCTGCTAAAGATGAAGAAGAAGAAGAAATAAAAGAACCCGAGGTGCTCAATGAAAGTATTGTGGATGTGGAAGATGTAAAAGAGAAAGGTGAAATAGCCATTGTAGAGCAGAATGCAGAAGTAGTATCTGTATCTGCTAAAGATGAAGCTAAAGATGAAGAAGAAATAAATGAACCTGAGGTGCTCAGTGAAAGTATTGTGGATGTGGAAGATGTAAAAGAGAAAGGTGAAATAGCCATTGCTGAGCAGAATGAAGAAACAGAATCTGTGTCTGTTAAGATTGAGGAGGAGGTGATGGACAGCAATAAAACTGAAGAGGTTGCAAAAGCTGAGGAGACATCTGTTAATGAAAACCAAACAGATGCACAAAAAGGTTTGTCATACTGATTCAATTCTTTCCTCTCATATTAGACACAAATCTGGTAAATGTGATAGCACATTCTCGTTTGAAACTTCTCTAACAATTTTAGAAGAATAGCTATGGTGGGTATTTTGATTTAATTCGTCCTAACCAAAGAAAAACAAACTTATTCGAATCGAAAATGAATCATATGTGCCGTATTAATTTGGTTTGGTAATGCCGTATTAATCCATGCTGAACTGAAACGGAATAAAACCAAAATGGACTAATCTGACCGAAACTGAATATTCAATTCAGTTTTAGTTTGGCAATGTGTTTTCCAAACCGTACTAATATGTATTGAACAGAGCCTAAATAAAACCAAACCGAATTCAAAAAGAAATAAACTTTAGCATTTAAAAACAAATCCAATCTGAACCAGACTTTGATTTTAATTTGGTAATCATTCTTTCGATATCTTGTAATCTGAATGGAAAACACAAAAACCGAACCCGAAGTGCCCATGGCCACCCTTAGTATAGGTAATTAGAGTGTAGTCTAACTACAAACATAAACTGAAAAGCTTTAAATTAAATGATATGCCTGTGATTGACAGAAGCTGGCATTGAGGAAAATGAAGAAGGAAAGAATGCAGAAGAAAATGATGTGCCAGCTACTACTGATGAGGCAAAAGTTGAAGCCAAACCAGAACCAGAAGAGAAGACTGCAAGTCCAGTTGTATAGAAAAAAAGGAAGAAAAACATATCCATATAGTCACATCATTTTCAGACACTGCACATTTATTATTCAAATGTCTTGGAGATTCTCTTCATTTGTGTAGGGAAATTGCACTTTGTAAGCCACAATTCTTATTGGGTGTGTTTGAAGGGTCATCTTACATGGACCAGTTATCATTATTTTTTACCAAATTATTTCAGTGCCAACCGTTATTTTGCATGATTATTTTGTGGTAGGGTCAGCCAGTTCATGACAATCAATAAATATGAATAACTATTTTACTTTTTTCACGTGATACAAATGAGATAATAATAAATTTAGGTGACATTTTGGGTACCGATGCACAGCTAAATCCATAAATGTTCCCCTTTTGGGTTTTTATTAAAAAATTGTATTCCGTAGAATGTTATTTTTTGCATGGGTGATGTTCTGGTTGGAATTGCTGTTCCAAAACTTTCTTGTTCCCACATTTGAAGTTAGAAAATTCGCCAAATTCCCATATGTTCGGATCTTCGAGAATCCGGTCTCTTTCATCCCTTTGATTTTGCTCAATTTTGCTTATCAACCAAACATGCTTTGTCTAATTCACAATAATTTAGTCCCAAACAAAACCAAACTAGACATTTATCAAATGAGACCATATCAGACCATACCAGAAAATTTCGGTCCAAAAAACATCCTACTTCTCATACTTCTCACTAACATAAAACTCATTGGCAGTTCATTTTTAGCACTTTCAGAGCCCGTTTGGTAGCATGAAAATCGGCTGTTTTGGCTGATTCTGCTGAAATTTATGAAGTTCTGGCTGAAGTGGCTGCATTGGCTGATTCTGGTGATACAAGAAAAAAATATTTTTAAAATATATTTTATTAATAAAATAAAGAAAAATTTATTTGTAAAAATAGCTAAAATGATCATCTACAGTAACTTCAGCCAATACAGCCAGAAAAGTAACTCCAACCTTACTTTTTCGGCTTATTACACAATTCGGCGCATGAAAGCAAAGTTTACGTGTTTGGTAAAAAAGTTGGCTGATAAGCCTGATAAGCCGAAAATGAGGGTTGCCAAACGACCTCTCAAATTGGTAGCAAAAACACCCATATTATTTCAAACTAGTATTACAATTTACAACCTTTTTACTTTTTTCTAAATCCCAATCCCACTCCATTCTCAATGGCTAGTTAGATGGGTGACTTATGTAGATTATTGTGCGAAAAATTCTAAAGGTACACACTTTTTTGTGTACACACTTTTTACACATGTCTGTGTAAGGTTTTTTTTATGTCTGTACAGACATAAAAAAAACCTTACACAGACATGTGTAAAAAGTGTGTGCCCCAAGTTCAACTCTTATTGTGCCGGATATCCAATAAATAAGTTCGAATCTTCCCATACTAGAACATTATCTATTCTATTCTATTTATATATAAGAAAAAGAATAGCTTTTCTAAAGACCTTTTTACCCTAATATAATAAGAGTTGGACTTGGGGTACACACTTTTTGTGTACACACTTTTTACGCATGTGTGTAAGTTTTTTTTTTATGTCTGTACAGACATAATGTACACAAAAATACGTTATGTCTGTACAGACATAACGTATTTTTGTGTACATTATGTCTGTACAGACATAAAAAAAAGTTACACAAACATGTGTAAAAAGTGTGTACACAAAAAAATGTGTAAAATTTTTCATATAATAAGCCTATGTGTCTCTCTTAGCAATTTTCTCTCCTTTCATATTACACTGCCGCGTGGCCTCCTTATTTTTGAAGGGTGCCGCTCAACCAAAGAACCAGCTGCCCAAAAAATCTGCCACAAGCCCGCAACAGTCCGCGCTTCACGCTTATTCTCCGCACATCCATGGTAGGAGACCATATCTTCTCCGAATACGAGAAGTAATTTGTTACTGTTTAGGAATCTTCATCTCTCCCTTTCCTATTTTCTTTTACCTTCACTATGTTAAAGATGTAACTCCAATTTAGGGCTTTATGCTTTGACCGCCCAACATGTATCACCGCCAGAGATCTTTGTTTGTTGATTCTTAATTTCAAAATTACATTTTACCATCACTGCAAGTAATACCATTTTAGGCCTATAAGGTGTTCAATGAAATGCTCACATGAGTTTTGACTTTTAGAGAGTCTGAGTGAGATATGTATCTATCTCCCATATTTTCATTAGTTTATAACATAGAGGTAATATATCACTTGCTTGATTCATGAGTTTCCAACTACATAAACAAAGAAAGTAATACTCCATAGTTACTTTTTAGGTTCAATTTATTGAGTATTTTTGCTCAATTTGATATCACAGGGACTGTGAAAACCATTGCTTAAGGACATATATTTGTTTTCATGCATACAACATGTTTGATTAAATCTTTAGATGGTCAGTGGTGTGTGTTGGATTATAATGTAGTAACTATTAAAAGTACAATCACATTTAAACAACTAGATAACAAAACATGAGGTTTATACCATGGGCTTTAGTTTCTGAAACTTTAATGTGTGCAATACTACTATATATACTATTGTTAGTGCTAAATTAATTCACATTTAATTTTGTTTACATTCTATTTCCAATTTCGCAGCCATATCCTTCCAATACGTGTTTGGGCCTTCTAGCTTGAGTTTTGGCCTCACCATGTTGATGAGTTTACATATATGATCTGATGTAACATACGGAGTATATGGTGATCAGTGCTTTTTAAATTGTGATTTGTTATAAATTAGTCTCATTGCATATAAAAAGTTGAGCCTTTTATTGGCTAAAACATAAAAATGGGGACATTGAAATTATTATATAAATGTGTAGAGTAAATGAAAATTGAAGTGTGTGCGCGCGCGGGTGTATTAACATTATTTATTATGTAGTACAAACAATACCTAATAACATAGGGAGTGTTTACCTATGCCACTCTAAGAACAAAAATCAGTTTTTTTATACATCCACTCACTCAATGTATTCTTTTTATATCGCAATTCCTTGTGAGTCTAAAATCAATTTTTTAGACAAAATCAGTTAGTTCTTGTTTTTTAATGAACTTCTTAGACATTTTGGAATTTAATGTTGGAACTTAATGAGTCATTCATATTCTTCAATATTATATTGAATCAAATCCCATAATTTTAAATTTAAGTTTACCACCATTATTGAAGCAATCCTACTTCATATAGGTGTCACAAGTACAAATGATCGACCATATTTGAAATGGAAAATATAGCTAAGCATTCTGCTAAACACCATATATGAGTCTAAAAAACAAAGAATTGATGACATATATACTCCGCTAAACACCATATATGAGTGTAAACACCCTATACTCCGTATGTTCAAAAAACAATTTTAACTCTGAATTGCTATATTAGCCGATTTGTCAAAAGGCTTGTCATTTAATAAATACGGAGTAATAAAAAGTACTCCGTGTTATGATCTTAATAATGTTATCAGCTTTTCATCAACACATGAGATATATAAAAAGTACATGGGGAGTGGGGTACATGATAATGGTAGGGGTGGGCAAAAATCCCGGTCCCGGTGTTCCAAATCGAAAAATCTCGATACCGTTCTGACACTATCCCGATCCATTTAGGATGCAACTTTTTCATCCCGAACCGATCTCGTGTCGAAATTAATCGGGACGGGACCGGGATAGCTATAAAATATCATGTCCCGTCCCGGTGTCCCGTTTAAAATTAGTAGATTATTTTAAATTTCTAATACTATGTAATAGCCAAACCCAATTATAACTTTCTAGCCCTTAGTCTCTCTAGTGTAATTTTATCTTGTTTTGTGTCTCTCTTAATCTCGTTTCTTTTGTTCCTTTTGATTAAGGTTTGTTTAGTTCTCATTCCGATACTACTCTATAACATATTATTACGTGCGGAATATTATTTATGATGGAATAACTACTACTCCAATATATAGTGTTGTTATACATTTAATATTTTCCAAAATACCTACTAGAATATATATATATATATATATATATATATATATATATATATATATATATAGTCTTTAGAGATATGATATTTATTTTAATGTGGTATTGAAAATTACAAGTTTACTACAAAGTATAAAAATATTTTGCGATACTAATGTTTTGCGCTACTATAATTAGGGGGGATAAAAAAAAATTACAAGACAATAATTAAAAATAGTTAATTAGAGTTTTTACTTAACTTTTTAGAGAAGCTAAATTTGCAAAAAATAGTTACGTCTTTATTTTGATGTTATGCTTATTTTTATACTCCCTCCGTCCCGAAAAGGTTGGCCAACATTGACTTTCACGTGGATTAATAAAGTAAAAACTGTGTGGTTGAAATTTGTGCAGAGGAGAGAATTAATTTTAGCCACATATTCCTTACTTTAAATGGAAATGACAAATCTTTTTGGGACATCCAAAAAAGGAAATTTGGCCAATCTTTTCGGGACGGAGAGAGTATCACATTTCACAAATGTATATTTTATGGGACGTCTCGAACTGTCCCGGTTTTTCTCGAGTTGTCCCGGTCCGTTTTAAATGGGACAACATTGGGATAAAGACTTATCCCGAATCGTACCGGACCGTTATTATAAAACCGGATCGGGATAAGCCAAATCTCGGACTGTCCCGAACCGCGCCACCCCTAGATAATGCGGTTTGACTTAGTTCTCCCTAACATCATATATGGGCTAGAGTGTAATGAACATTCACACACTCTATAACACTCCTCCTTGGATGTACATTACTAAATAAAAACATTACAAGAAAAATATGATTATTCTATTCATATATGTTGGTGATGCTGCCTCGTTAAAAATCTTGCCGAAGAAAACCGAGTGGGACAAAACCTTGGTCAAGGGAAAAAGAGTGCGGCGCTTATATACTCCCCGTGTTGACTGCATCACTTCAAGACTTCTTGTAGAATCCAATATTGATGGAGTATATGGGTCTGAGCCCCCGGACCCACATACTCGGAAAAACAGAAAGCACAAGACAACAGAGTGGCGCCCTCGTCGGCCAAGACGCCCCCGTCGGCCGAAAAGGGGCCAACTCGGATTATGGTCCTGAGCCCAAGGAACCCGGGTGCCCTCGTCGGCCGTGCCCTCGTCGGCCGTGCCCTCGTCGGCCGCGCCCTCGTCGGCCACAAAGACCTCCCAGAATCAGATTTTATACTTACTCATTTGTACAGCCCATTAGTGGCTTTGTATTCGGCCCAGTAGCGGTCCAGTTGTAGATGGGCCTCCCAAGCCCAAGACTTGGGAGCCCAACCCTAATTTTCTCTATAAATACTCCCCTTGGGAGTAGTTATAGGGGTGACGAAATCATTCTATTGAAGCATATTATTGCACTTCTCTCTCTAGCTCTCACTTCTCTCTAGATATAATCTATCATTTGGTGCTCTCGTTGAGAGCTAGAACAATCAAGTTAGCACCCTTTGTCGCTACCAAGCACAGCTAACCACTGATCATGGGGAGAACTAAGTCAAACCGCAACCTCGTCAGCAAAGCCATCCCTGAGGACCAAGAGCCCAGGGAGCACGATGAGGACGCCACGGCCGACCAGGTCGACGGAGGGGACCTCTTCCAGGAGGCCTTCAACCTCACAACGGACCTCCGCAACCAACTCAACGACGGCGCCCCTGATGCCCGCCTCGGCCTGGACAAGAAGCGAGCTGAGAAGACGGAC